GATGGATTTAACATCAGAATTCCCTCCAGAAGACTCCGAGCACCAGTGCACATTGCGGAGCAGTGTCATCATATGCCCTTGGCTAAGATATACTCCTTGAATGAACATGACACAGGCACCTAGAGATTAAGCTATAAGAATGCTAGAACAGTTTCTTTTCAGCCTTCTCCTCAGCGAGATGAAATGTTGAGTCCCAGGAGCAGGATTATTAGCCATATTTTACTAAGATGGTCCTGTGCTGCGTGGCTCAGTACAGCCAATTGTGCTCTAAATTTATTTGGAGTTGAGTTGATCTGCCTTGAAAACCTCTTTGCTGGAAATTGCTGCTGCAACTACTGTCCTGGCTTGGAACAGGAAAGGAAACGCATTGAATTTGTCAGTTTTGGTTCTGGGCAAGTAGCAAAGGCAGCTGATCAGTACAGACAAGTTGGCTGGCAACAAGCTGCCTCTGTCCTTTGGATTTTGGCCCTGAACTGAAAGATCAGTTTTCTTTCTGCAAGTCCTGCAGCAACAGTATTTGATCAGCTTATAGAGCTTGTTTTACCATTTTTGAGAATTAAGCTGTCCAGTTGCACCCAGGCCAAACCATGTACTAGTATTGATGCTTATACCGAGACTGCCTTGATGCAGCACTATAGTGTTGACATGCGTTAATTAACTTGCCAGTGTGAGAACATGCAAAAATGTCACAACAATTTAAGCCATTATGCCCAATGAACAGAATGGTTTAGGCCTGTTCCTGTCATATTATCTTGTGACAGGACTGTCATTAACTTTTATTGGCACAACTATATTATGTATAATGAGTGCTTAAGGACAGCTATGATGGTGTGCACTTCATCCATATTCCCTCTTCCTCTACTACATAGATCTTAAAGAAAGGCAAGTTCTTGGACAGATTGGTCTTCAGTGTTTGCTAAACTGTGACATTCGTAGTCACTCAGATCTATCTAATGTGATCTAAAAAGGAATTTTCTGTAATATATCACAGGAGTTCCTCAGGGTTAACTGGGACTGGCTGTTAAGGTAGGAAAAGCTTCTACTGTGAGAACACATGTTTTTCAGGAATGAGGAAGCATGGCACAAAATTACCATTTAACAACCATATCTAATTCCTGAGTGTGTAGGTGCAGTGCCTGTTACACTGGGTACTCAAGTTTAGTCAGACCCTCTAGGTGATAGTTAACTACTACTTCTGCACAACTAATTACATGTGCACTCCTGCGTACAAAAATAATGAGTGAGGAATCCAGTAGGCCTGTGTGAATAGGGAAGTATTTGATTTGGATTTGGATTTGGCCAATTCAGAGGACAGTGATTTAATTTTGAGATTTGGATCAGTGGCCTGAATCGATTCTGCCGAATCGGCTTCAGAAGATTCATCCATAGACTATAATAAGGAATCACTGAAATACCTATAACTTTGTCATTTTTGGGCAGATTTGGATGAAAACAGCAGGGATGGTAGCCCCTTCTGAGGGCATGAAATCTGTCAAGTTTCAAGGAGATAGGTGCAGGGGTTTCTGGGAAATTGCACATCAAGTTGCTGACAAGCAAAACTTGTGACTGTGTGTGTGTGTTAAGGCAGAGCAGGGTGAAAACTTCAGGCATGGTAGCCCCTGCCAAGGCCACTAAACTTGCCAAGTTTCAAGGAGGGTTCTGGGAAACTGTACATCAAGCTTTTGAAAGCAAAACTCGTGATGTGTGACTTTGTGTGTGTGTTAAGGCACAGCAGGATGAAAACAGCAGGGATGGTAGCAAGTAAAAGGGGACCTTCCCGGTGGTCAGGCAGAAACAGCTCACTAAAGGGACAGAAGGGCTGCAGACAGAGGCTTATGTGCTGTTTCTACGTCCCTCCCCCAGAGCACTGTGATTGGAAGGGGACTCAGGGAAAGTTCACAGTCACTGGCCAGCTACAGATGTCAGTCTTTCCCCCCCTGCTCCCCTCCCTCTTCTCAGTTTCTGTTCCCCTGAAAGACTGCCTTCCAAATCTCGGAATCTCTGAATCTTTTTCTGAATTGATCTGGAGGGTTTTTTTTGGTCTCCCAATTCGATTAGGATTCCGTGATTCAGTCTCTGAATCGGGCCGAATCATTCCCGAATTGAATCAGTGATCAAAGCTTTGCACACCTCTAAAACGCAGGCAGGGACTGCCTAACTATAACTTGAGAGAAGGATTTACATTCATAGGCCTCTCATCCATGTCTCATGATTAAGGTTTATTTATCATTGTCAGCTCTTCCTTGTGCTTAGAATGTCACTGAGCAGATTTTAAATAATTTCAAGAAAAAAAAAAAATCACAGTTAAGACTTTTGTGAGAGGGATGGATATCCTATTTAATGCCATAGCTGTCCATTGCAAACTACACAATCAAATGTATTCCAAGTTTCTTAGTGTCATGGGATGGGGTCCCCAGGGATGGCTGTGATACCCCTAGGGCTCCTTGACCATGCCAATCCAGCCCAAGAGGCACCTTCTTTCTCTTCTGCCACGTCTTGTTGTATTATAATAAATAGGGAGACTGCACTCAAGTTTGTATTTTGGGCACAGTCCTGATGGATCCTACTGAATCCTGTGGGTTCTTGAACCCCTTTTGGGTCCTGCTCCAAAATGGATGCCTCTTGGGACACCCTCAGCCTTATGGGCGAGATGCATGGCTCCAAACCTTCCCTGCACCATGCCCCAAGCCTCACAGATGGTATTCACATGTTGTCCCTCCAAGGCCTTAATTTAGCTTGGTCTCCAGTCATCACTGGGCTCTCCATAGTCCGGTTTATCTCTCTTGGTGCCCACTCTGGCGCCGGGGCCTGTTCCCCCACCCCAAATCTGGTACCCACTCTGGTGCTGGGGTCCCCACACTGTAGTGGACCCCAATGAGGCCTCCTCCTTCCTCAATAGCCTCAGCCTGATCCTCCAGTGTATAGGAAACAGCAACCCAAAATATGAGCCCCTGGTCTATAACATAACACAAAAAGTTCAGGGTGTGCTCTGCCCCTTTAAAAGAGTCAAACTTCTTCCCCAGCACCAAGGCAAGGGTACCTGATGAGCTCCTGGATCCCCATTAGCCCTAAGTGCAGCATATCTGATAGCTGCAGCTTCTCTGGGTGATTCCTCCCTGGAGGTTCCTTCCTCTTTGGCTGCTGGCAGGGAAATTCCTCTTTAGTCCTAGCCCTGGGGTTTATATGTGCCCAGGGCCCTGCCTCTTCTGGTCAGCTGACCAGCTGCAGGTGCAGGCTAATTCCCTCCTTAGACCTGCTACCACAAGAACTTGCACCTGTGGGGTTCCTGCCTGACTGCTAGGGCCCTCTTTCTAGACAGTTTCTGCCCTTAAAGGAGCAGGCACCTTAGTGCCCTGCGACACTTAGTTGTTATTCATTGTATAAGCCTGCACTGTATTCTCCTGTCCCCTAATTGAATGAGCCTCCCTTTTCAAAAACACAGCACACAAAACTTGCAGGAAGTAAATTTAAAATTTAGTCAACAAATATTAATGCTATTAGATTCATGCCAATAGAAGTTCAATAGGCCTATAGCTTGCATGATGTCCTATTTATGTGTGAATAAGTATATCTATAAAGGGTTTCTGAACTATCTGGACCACTTCTCTCATCTCCTGGGTACTGACAGTGCAGAAGTCAGTGGCCTGACAGCCACTGTCAGCCCCCCTGCTATTGTAAAACTTTATTTGAATATTTCCCAAAATGGAATTAAGACTGGC